CACACACACAGGTGCACATGCACACGTGCACACACACAGAGGTGCACATGCATACACAAACACACACGGCTCACACACACACAGGTGCACATGCACACACACACATACACACACACACACACACAGACCACCAATCCAAGCTGTCTTCTCTCACCTCACACACGATTTTGGAATCTCCTCCAAAAAGTTAAAATGGGGTGGACTCTTTTAGGAATAATGCAGCTGAAAAGGCAGTAACTGCAGGGAACTGACAAAGCACTACATCTATGTGGTTCATAAATGATGGGATTGGTGAGTCCACATCGCATTAGGACACAGTTTTTGGTTAAAGCAATAAACGTGATATTAGAAATGTAGGATTTTCCTCTCAACATCAGCTGAATGAGACAATGGGAGAGCATTATCCCTGCTTCAATGGGAGAGCATTGGCCCTAGTGCTGGTGGAAAACTGAGGCTCACAAACACAGGAACTTGCCCCAAACTTGTGTATTTTAAGAAAAGTAAGTTTCCTGGCCTAGAGCCTCAGAGAAAATGGAGCTTCTAATTCTTCCTCTGCCACCGACATGAGTTTTGACCCCCAACTAATATTTCATATCCCTGGTGAATTTTTCCACATGAAATGTGATAACTGGGCCTGGTGAGCTATAAAGAAAACTAGGTTGGGTAGGTAGAAAACTCAGGCAGTCCTTGCCTTACTTTCAAGAGTCCCCCTAAGGGCTCTGGTGGAGACCTCTGCCTTAGACACCCTATCCGGAAGGGCCTGGTCGGCAATGGACTTTCTAGTGCTCCGAAGCCCCCACCATACCCTCCTTAAAGCTTGAATCTGCAGGGCTTCTGTCAGCGACAAGTTGGACTAAAGACTTCCTAGGGTCTCAACAGTCTGCAAGCTGCATTAACGACGAAGTAAACGTGCACCTCTAGCGCAGAGGATTATGGCAGGATACCGATGCAGCGTCCCGCCCCATCCCTGAAGATGGAACACCAAATGCAGCAACAACTACCCCAACCTCCCTAGGCTGGGTACAGTGTTTCAGCTGCCTTCGCAGAGGCTGGAGAGTTCCTCTTGCGCCTGCGCACACAGAGCTTGTGCGGTGTGGGGGGGGGGGGGAAGGCCGGCAAGTTGGGCGTGGTCTGCGTGTACTGGGCGGGTGCACAGCGGTAGTTGGCTCTGGAGCCCGTGTGGTCTGAGACTGCTTAAACCACCACCACGGAATCGCTATGAGAATTGCAACCGCCACTGCTCCTCACACAGGGCACCTGCCAGTGCTTTGGTCTACGGATCACGTTGGTGGGAACCGAACTATTCGTGGTGCGGTGCCCCCGAGGGCACTATTTTCGGGGCGTGTATGGGATGAGTGGGCATCGCTGCTCCAGGCAGAACCGGTCTGTGGTTCCACAAAGCTACGGTTAATGCGTTGCAGCCGTAGATGTTATGGTGCCTTTGGGTTCTGACAAGTGGCCGATGTGATATCACTGTGCCTAAAAGAGGAGACAATGACGTCACAACGACCTAAAGCCTTGGAAGGTGGAAGGAGCGCTCTTTGAGACAGGCCAATTCTAGAGGATTTTTTTTTAACGTCGCGGGTCTTGCATTCTTGAAACTGGGGTGACTCCAAGAATCTCCATATCTTCTAGTTAATCCTTTCCTCTCTCCTATGAACAGAGAACTCAGCGGCTAGAAAAAGGCTTTCTATAGTGCTGCAAACTCCAAAGTTCTGGAAACTGGAGAAACCTAAACTTCTTCCTCTTAAGGAATCCTTGAAAGCTGGTCTGTCTCCCAGGATGCTTCTGATCTCTTTCTAGTTAGGAACTCTAAGCTATACCAAAGATCTCCCAAGGTTTCTGCCCTCCAAATCAACCCAGCACTCACCTCGGGTCATGTTAGGCATGGGGCAGAGGAGAAGAGGAGAGGCAAGGCAGGAAGAAGGAAAGATTGAAGAGCTTACTTTGGTGGGGATTGGAACCAGAAGAGAGGAAGTTTTCTAGAAGTATAGGGAAGAGTTGAAACAGGCAAGAAAAAGCTTTCCCATGTCTGTTTGTCTGTCTGTCTGTCTGTCATCCCTCATCTCTTGTGTGTGTGTGTGTGTGTGTGTGTGTGTGTGTGTGTGCAGGAGTGCAAAAGGCATACTGGGTACCAGAGGAGAAACTGTCCCCAGTCACATCCTTCCAGAATTGAAGCCTGTTGAGTGATCACCTGCAATCCTTGGCACTGCATAATCTTGCCATTCCTTGGAGCAAATGTTACTAAAAACTGGGCTCTGGTTTCACACCATGAGAGCAACATGTGGTACCCTCAGTAGTCTGGACATTTTTGTCTAGGCTGGTGCCCCATTCCCTTACACCATGCTAAAACTTCTGCCCCAGGGAGTTCATTCTTCTGAGGATGCATGTTTGATATTGAAAGTCTCTCAGCCTCTGGACCCAGGGTGGGGCTTGGGATTCACCATGCCAGAAGTGGAATGTGCCAAAAAGGAAAACATCCCAAGCAAACCTTCTGGAACATTCCACAGCATTAATGATGTCCCGGGGGCCTGGCTAACTGCAAAGGTTCTGAGTGTCCTGAAAGGAGTGAGGGGACAGCTGTGGTAGTCAGGGCTGGGGGGAACGGAATTCCAGAAAAAAAGTGAAGATGCCTCTTAAGGTTTCAGAAAGTGCTCATAGTGTGCTCTTGCTCTCTTCTCTCTCTCTCTCTCTCTCTCTCTCTCTCTCTCTCTCTCTCTCTCTCTCTCTCCACTGTCACTCTCTCTCTAAATTGTCTTACCATAAGCTGTGATGTCGACCATCTCATGTCCTGATCTGAGTTCCAACACTTCGAATCAATAGCCCTTCCATGAACCCAGACAGAGGCCCCAAGACTCTTGGAGAGAGGCTTCGTTCACTTTGGGGCCTTGTTCTTGTAGACCCTGATGGAAGACAGTGAGCATTTGCCAGTCAAGGGGCAATCCCACAGACCAGCACCCATGACCTGGCACACTGCTCACTGGCAGATGGAGATGGGTCGTGAGATCATTCAAGAAGTTTTTGAGGGAGACACACCTTACATACACTGCTGAATAACGGATAGGTACTGTGGCGACCTTTCTCGTGTGGAAATGCACGTGGAAGTACCCCAATCCTGGGTCGTCCATCCAGGTCTATCCAGCAGGGGGCAGCGCGGCCTCCAGCTCGGCAGACAGTGCTCACAAGGACTGGCCAGGCTGAGGCTCCAACTCTAAATTGGGCTCCTGGGAAGCAAAGGTCTCCATCTTCTACCGGGCTTGATAGAATTCCCACAAGAGGTTGGGGCAAGACTGGCCAGGAAAGGAGAGAGTGTTTTAACTACTGCAATCCAAACTAGCTTTCTTGGTCCTCAGGACCCTGCTTGAGGCCAGGGTTTGGGTCATTGATGAAGGCAAGCATAGCCCAGTGGTCCTCACCCCTACGTAGTGCCAGGGAAAAGCTAAACTTGGTTTGGGAAAGGCCAAGGGCGCCACCGTCTGCGCGGTCCTGCAGTCTGGGTGCTGGAGCTAAGGGGGAGTCAGGCTCCGCCCCCAAGTTGAAGAGCCCCAGCCGCCAGATTTCTAATTGTGGCAAAACTAAACGCCCAAGGGTAGGTTCACTTTGCCTTTCGAAGCCAGGAGTGAGGATTCCAGGGCGTCCGCCCCCACCATCCCTCACAAGATTTCCAAATTGCGAGGAATTAAGAATCGTCATGGATTTGGGGCTGTGATTCGTGTAGGGGGACAAGCTCCAAGGGGAGAACTGGGAGTAAGAGGTTTCTAAAGGAAACAGAGAAGGATATTGACTGAGGGACTTCAGGAAGACGGGATAGCTTATTGCAGATGCGTGCTGAGGGCCGGGGCCAGAGGACAAATGGGCTTTGAGGCCCGGTGAAGGAAGATCTCACCCCAAAACAAAAGCCAAGGGCCTGTAGGAAAGATGGGGGGAGGGGAAGTCTGGTGTGTGTGCATAAGGGGCGGGCTAGAGGGAGGGGTGACAACGACTCGGTTCCCTCCTGCCCCCGCCCCCCTGCGTGACCCCTGCATTCGGAGAGGCTGGGATTTCTCAAGGCTTAATGGGAGGGCAGCAGACCCTCCTTTGCAACAACCCACAGCTTTTCGGATTTGAGGAGTTAGAAGACCCGGGCCCTGATTACATAAATACGGAGATCGGAGATCGACCAACACCACAGAAGCAGGGCTTCTTCCACCATCCCATCCTAACTGGACGAGGTGAGAAAAGTTGACAGGTGGAAACTGAACAGAGAAATCTGTTCCTCTCTAAATAAAAGAACTCCCCCCCCCTCGCGGCCCGAGAGGAAAGTATCCATTCTGTCATGCCTGTAAAATAACCGTTTATTTAATAGTTTAAAAAAAAAACTCCAGTGATAAATGTCCGTTACCGATGGTCAGCATAAAGTGCCAGTCGCAATACAACGCCCGGCTCCTGGCTGGCTGCTCTCGCGCGCTCAGCGATGGAGCAGGGGAGCGGAGGCTCGGTCCCGCCAGCCCGGGATGCCTGGTCCTTAGCCCGGTTTCCGCGCCCGGAGCGGGAGGTCAGCGGCGCAGCCTGAGCGCCCAGGAGTCGCAGGGAGCCAGGAGCCCCTGGGGCCGGTGACAGAAGCAGATACAAGGATTACACTTTCGCAGGCTTCCCACGTGGGGATGGGAAAGGGAGGAGGGACTAGAAATTGCCAGGGCGCGCAGATCTTTTCTTTTCCCCCTCTCCGCAGTCAAGACTTTACAAGCTTATATGGTCAAAAGGGGGAAAAATAAAGAAAACGTATAAAATAACAATAGAAAAAGTAATACTTTTGGGAAAGGCGCCACTGCGGCTAGGCGGAGTTTTCGTTCCCTTTTTTCCTTTCTTTCTTTCTTCTTCTTCTTTTTAAAAAAATGCAGTTTCCCTTCCGCCACGTGAGTTAAGTACCGCCTTTTGGCCAAGAGTTTAGCCGCGTCCTGGGGGAGCCGCCCAGGCTGTAGGAGTCACGGCCCCGGGCATGGCTCAGGAACGCCGCAAGCGCTAGGGACCCAAGGGACATTGTTGGTGTGAAAGAAAGATTCCCAAAGCCCTTCCCGCTGCCCCGCAGAGTCGCCTCCAGCTTGGGTCCCTCTGGAAAAGAAGGCAGCAGCTCCTCCCAGGGTCCTGGTGCCCCGCAGGCTCTGTTTAGCATTTGATCTTGGAGGTTTTGAGCTCCTTCACTTGTGAGTGTAGAGTCTTGTGGACAGCGAGAGTCCGGGACTGGCAGAATCCTTTTCCACACTCTTGACACTTGAAAGGCTTCTCTTTGGAGTGAATATATCTACGGGTAGAGACAGACAACATCATGCAATGTTGTTTATGAATGCGTGTACGAGGTCCCCGCCCACTGACGTTAAGGTGTTTGTGGGTTCAGACAAAGGGGGCAAAGGAGAGATCGGCAACAGGCCGGCCTAGACTGTGGGTAAGAGTGAGAAGGTGGAGGGGAGCTTTGGTTTCATAAACAGATTCGACAGATAGACCACCTGCCTTCCTGAGGCTGATAAGTGGGGACGACCTCCTTCTAAAGGCTGAGTCAACACTGGAGGTCAGTCAACAGACTAGGGGGTCAGACAGTTTCTAGATCTGCCCTGCCGGAGCAGTCAGCACTAGCCCAAGAGATTCTTGAAAACTAGAAATGCGTAAAATTAAGTAAAACTAAAACGTTCTGAGTTCCTATTCCAAGTGATCCTTCCCAAATCTCTCGGGCATTGTGATAACTGAGAAAGGAGGCAAACAGACCCAACCTTGTGAAGACCTGATCTTAGGTCCTAGTCGTCACCATATTTCTTTCCCCACGTTCTAAAACCTGTCCTGGAGCGGGGCGGGAGGGACGGGGAGGGGTGGCTGTTCACGGTTTGTAGAGAATTCCCAGAGGTAAGGGAATGCTTAACAGCCACCAGGGACTCTTAGGAACCTTAAAGGGGGGCAGGGGAGGGACACACCAGGCCAGAGCAGCCAAAACAGACCCCTCTGGGGGCCACCCGCGACGCTATAGTGCCGCACCTGTGGTCCCGTAGGTGGTCTTGCCTCCGGAAGGCTTTGTGGCAGATGTCACAGGTGTATGGCCGCTCATCTGTGTGCGTCCGCTCGTGAATGAGTAGGTTATAGGACTTAGTGAAGTGACGGCCACAGAACTTGCAGACGAATTCCTTTTTAGTCTTGGAAGGCAGGCGTCCCCTCGTGGGCTTCTTTTCTGGGGATAGCTTGGTCACATCCAGGAGGGCGCCCAGCCCACCAGCGGGGGAGCCAGGACCCTCCCCTCGGCCAAGCTTGGAGGGATCTTCTTGTGTGGCAGCCAAGGCCAGGTTAGCGAAATCAAAGCGCGGCTTGGTCTTAAGCGCCACACCGCTGCCTCCCGCGGTGATCTCTGGCTTTGGGTGGATGACGTGAGGAAACCAGGGAAAGGCGGGCAGCTGAAAGCGAGCATCCATCAGGCTGGACACCGCACCTGGCACTTTAGAAAAAGAGGAACGTGGCAAGTGCATGGCTGGGTAGCCCAGGGTCCATTGGTGCAGATGTACAGCGTGCAGAGCACTGAAGCCGTACAAGTTGGGCAGGTGGTCCGAAGGGACTGTGGGCAGGCCATTCACTGCCTGGAGAAAGGAGTAATTGGTGAGCTGCAGGGACGGGTGGATGGGCACCGGTGCTGGCAAGGTTTTGCTGCCCATTTCTGTAGCTGGTAGCGGCAATGGTTTGAATTATTGATCTGCAAAGACAGGAAGAAGGATGGGGAGAGAGAGCCAAAGAGATATTCAGAATTCCAGTCCGGTTATACACACACTCTCCTTCCCTTAGGGCAGGCAGGAGGTCGGAATCGAAGACCCCACCCATGAACCCCACTGCCCTCTCAAAACAGATGAGAACATAAGATATAGAAGGGTTGTCTGGCCAGAATTCTCTGTGATGGTCAAGCCCCCTCCAAATGGTATCTGGCAAAGACACATATTGTTGACAGAGCCATCAATGGAAAACTAAGTCCTCAAACACAGACACAACCAACTTAAATGCCTGCTGTCAGCTGTGAAAGATGCACACATAGGAATACAGGCATGGCATGCCGACACCGATATTCACACCCAGGCAAACCTGGGCCACACAGAATTACACGGTCCTGCAACAATAACAAGATCTGGGGGAGCACACTTACACACTCAGTTCACATGTTCTGAGGAGGCATCAAACAAGAAGGTCAGGAAGCAGAGTGGAACTGCCAGTGTTTTACGGGACAACCCTGTACAAAATGCAGGCGCCTTCAGACAGACATACCATCCACCCCCTTCAGACAGACATACCATCCACCTCCTGCCTGTTAAGGTTTGGGGGTAACTGGCTTAGTTTCCAGAAGTCAAAAAGAATCCTGCCATCCATCTTTCAAGCTCTCATTTGGACCTAGATTTGCTATGTACCATACAATTGGTGAACCCCGTGGACTCTGTCCTCTCGGTAGCTGCTTGCAGACTGACTCCCTGACCTTTGGTAATGATCCTCATTTCAAGAAAGGTACTGACATCCACGTTTTGCTCATTTGTTCAGTCAAACAATTGCAATTCCTTATGAGGGAGCTCATGTGTCCTCCCCCGGGGGAGCTGTTTTTCTGGGGGTTCAGGCTTCTTACATATTATGAAAACCTTGGGCAAGGTCATTGTGTGTAGGTAGGAGCACTAATGCCAGTCCTTGCCTGCTGGGTTCTGTTTATTCTCCGAATACAGATTAGGGTTCTTGAATATGGTTGTTGCCATACCAAAGTGACCAGGGTCTCCAGAGTTGTCATCTTCTGGCCACTTTGGTCAAGTTCCTCAGTATGCGTGGAAAGTGGGGGGCTCTGCAGAGATACCTTTCATCTTTTGTCCCTCCAGATATTTCTGATTTGGGAATATATAGTGGAAGTGGGGGGAGTAGGGAAAATACAAACACTAGGGACCCTTGGGAAGCCTCTGAGCTTGGGGTTTAATGGCAAGGATCAAGTCGTCTTCAGAGCAGAACGTTTGTAAAGTCCTTCCCCTTTCCCAGTGCCAGCCTCTGGCTACTGATTCTTCCTTGACCCCATGCTTCTCTTTCTCTTTCTCCAGTCTCTACTCTGGGGTGTACCATCTACTTTTTTGCCTCTGTCTTCACAGCTCAGACTCACCCCTGCAGGTCTCAACACCCTCAGCCCTAAAGGCTAGACAGAGAGGATGGAGTCAATTTCCTTCCTCCGCCTGGGGCTCTAAAAATGCCTGGCTAGTTCAGAGATGTGCAGAACCTTTTTTATTGGGGGGAAGGGGGGCTACCGGAGGACGCATCACCCAGGACACTTTAGCAGATTGCTAAAAAGGTGACGGGTGGTACAGCTAGATCCAAAGAAAGATGTATTGCTGGGGGTGATGGGTGCCCCAAACACGAGAGCAGGCTGGCTGAAATCTGCCTGCAATTAATTTGGCCTCCCAGATAAGGAAAGCACAAATTTGCTGTCATCCAACTTGGTTAGCTAGCATGATAGCCTGCCCCAGCCTTCTCTACTACTCAGCTCACAAAACCTGTGCCAGCCAAATGAGGGGCCACCTCGGAGGAGATCTGGGACAAGGAGAAAGCAAAGTACCTTTGGAATGAAGAGGAAGCTGGGGACCCATTTGGACTGGAGAGGGAGGCAGCCGCCAACTTCAAAGGTCTATGGGGCTCAGGCTAGTTGAATGCGCTTTGATTTGTCACCCCTTCCAGGCACTGGGAACTAGATCCCTATATTAGGCTCTATAGGAGACAGCCTGGGCAAAGGGGAGTCCACACTGGATCCTCTCCTGCTAGGCCTATGGGAAGTCAAGGAGTGATGGTGGCAGAACTTTTGCCTGACTTTTTTCTTACTTCCTCTGAGGAGCCAAAAGAGACTGGAGAGGCCTTGGGATCCTGGAGAAGTGGTACTTGCAGCCTATCTGCCTAATCTTATTTCCTCCAACACTCCATTTATTTTTCTCAGCGGACCAAGCAGTTTGCTTTCTCTAGCTTTCTGAGGCTTGAGATTCCAGGAGTCATGCTATCCACTCTTTCCCCCTCGGACCAATTTCGTTCGAAACGTGGCTCTTTACACCAGTGCTACAGAATGGAAGATTTGGTTTCAGGCTATCAGTTCAGAAAAAAACACAGTTGCATATATGCCTCCGCGGTGAGAAAAGATGAGCAAACATCAACATCGGGCCTTCCCAACTCCAGCGCTCCCCACTCCTCCTCCCAGACTCCAACCTGAGCTTCTCATCTCTTAATCCGACAGCGACCACCTATTCTAAGGCCCAGCATCCACTCCACGTGGAGCTCAGGCCTGGCGACTCTAGACTGGAGACTTGGGAAGCACTAGTAGGTGTCCCGACTCGCTGCAGTGAACTCAATTCGAGCCTCAGAGCAGGGGTCCCTGTGCGACATAGTCATTCATGTCCCTTTTGCAGTGGACCGCCAATCCCGCGTCTGCCGCCAGCCTTGTGCAGGGCATTAATGAAGTGTGTAGCCTATTAAAGTGGTTTATTCGGGGCTAATTGAGCGTGAGCGAGTTAACTGCTTGCATTAATGAGGACAGAACAAACCCCACGAGCTTGTGCCTGAAGAAGCCCAACGGCACCACCCCCCCCGCAAAAAATAATCATCCTTGACATAAAATCCCCAGTTGAATGGTGACAGGCTTTGGGATCCAGCTCCAGAGGATTGACCAGCACCAGATACTTTGGCTACATTTTTCCAACAAACGAGATCGAACGAATCCACTTTCTTTCGCCATTCTACTATACTGGGATGCCCGCTGTGTCCCCAGGAGTCTGCTTCCCAATCTTAATGAAACCGCAATTACTTTGGAAAGAGCCTGGGATAGACCATCTACCCACCAGTTGTCAGTCGTCGTTGGTTCCCCCATCCCTGTCAGTCAGCCCACTTCATCCCTGCTCGGCCGTGAAACTAGGAGGATAGCTTTGCACACGTGGTTCTCTTCAAAGAGCCAACTTGCAGGTTTCATCATGGATGAAATTCATCGGAGTTTTGCGACAAAGAAACCCTTGCAGCTAAACTCTGTTCCGGAGCCCACCCGGCTTGGATTTGTGCTCGCGCTGCTGAGAAAGGGCTGCGCGGGAGAATTTTTATTCTTATCAGGGCTGCTGGTCGAAAGTAAGATTCATTCAGCAAACAGCCGCCCTCAATTTCTCTCTTTTTTAGGTTCCCATCTTTCCCACTTAACCCTGGGTTAGGCGACTACCAAAAAAAAATCTCCACCCTAGAAACATCTGCAACTCCATAATGGTTCTGTTTGGTCTCCAGTTAGAAAACAATGTTCGTTTGTGCCCCCAGCAAGCTTCCCCATAACAGAGACAATCGAAGGTTAAGAGCTGCAGGCCTAAGGACACACAGAAACCCTCCAATAGAGATCATCCCAACCACAGCGCCCAAGTGTGAGGCAGGCTTCAGACAGGCAGCAGCCTTGTGGTCCTGGGGATTGAGGGCTTCCTGTCTGAAGAACAACTCCGCGAAAGACCAACTCGCATTTAAGCGCAACAGGGTTGGGGCAATGCACCTGTCCCGGGTGCTGTAGGCTTGGATTATGACCATCCACACCCTCTCCCCTCTTCTTCAGCTAAGGCAGGCCAGTCTGAATTAAAAGGGCATCCTAGAAAAAAAAAGTTTGTGCTCTCTGAAGTTGCTACGGTTTCTTAAAGGGAGCCTGCAAACTGCCTTACAAAATATGTGGTCACCTTACCCGAATTCTGCCTAGCCAAACTCTTCTGGCTTCAATGGTCCAGACCTCTCTGTCCCCACCTTTCCACGGAGGTCTGAGGCCAACAAGGGCGCAGAGTCAGAAGTCCTTGAAGGAGCATCCCCATCAACCCTACGCTGCAACTGCTCTCACTTTCACCAAGATCCTGCAGCCTGCCTTTGGCAAGAACTTCCTTTGGGGACACTGAAAAGAGGAGGCACAGGCTACAACAAGGAACCAGGAGTCTTGCCCGCCTTCGCCTCACTGAGCCCAGGCGCCCCAGGGCTGCAGTTACCTTGTTCTGCCGCGGTCCCCCCAGCTGAGCGCGTCTCTGAGGCTCGCTGTGTCGGACTCTAGGAACCAGAGACACTGGAGCCCACTGACACCCTTGGCGAACTGGAGTTCTGATGCGCCTCTAGCCGCAGGGACTCCAAGCGCCCCACAGGCGGGAGCGCTCCGCAGCCTCGGAGTCCTGCCCGCCGGGATCTAGTGAGCTTCGCTCCTGGTTCTCTTTCTGGGTCTGAACCCGAGCCGGTGAGAACTTGCTCGGGAGAGGCCGAGCTACGTCTCACTCATCCCTTAGCACCGAGCCGCCTACTTATTTTAATCCACCACCCCCTACCCCTCCCGCCCCTTGCCTCGCGATTCCTCCCCTCCCTCCCCTTCCCCCCAACTCTGCCTGCGCCTGCGCACTGAGAAACAAAGTTCTGCTGACCCGGGCAGCCGACTTTGGCAGTTTTGCTAGCTTGGCCTCTGCTTCTCCCGACCGGTGTCCACTCCCCGACAGTCCCACTCGACACTTTCTGTATGTTTTTTTTGTTTTGTTTTGTTTTCTTTTCTTTTTTTTAAGACACGCAAGGGCAAGCAGTAGAGGAAACAGCTCCGACCGGACAAGAGAGGGATAGGGCCGAGCATTTAGGATTTCTGCTGTGGTGCTTTAGGACTCAGTTTGTGCCTATGAAAGCCAGGAGGAGCCCGGTGTGTCCCAACACCAGCACCTTAGGCTTGTACGCAGTTAGTAGCCTGGCGAAGTCGCTGTTCTTCTTAGATTTTCCTCGCAGAGGAGACAGACCCCTGCGTGGAGCAGCGACGCTCTGACACCAAATAGTGCTTGGGTCCTGGGCGGTGACTCTGGCAGAGCTAGCTAGTTCCTGGTGCGGAAGGGCAGAGATTACTGACTGCAGTGAGCCATAACATCCGAGTGCCTATGGCTGACCACAGACCCTGGGGTTTGGAGTTCCGCAGAAACAGCGGCGGCAGGGCTTGTGGAAAGGAGCTGCGCTAGATCCCTGGAACTCAGAACCCCGGGATTCAGCTCTAATGCTCCGGTCACAGACTTGTTTAGGGTGGTTGGGAGTTTGAAGGGCAGCTGAGAGCTCTGAGTCTTGGGGAGCTGGTTTGGGTTGAGTTTGCAGAAGGAGTCGGGACTAAAATAACTACATTCTAGCTTTCTTATACTCTTTACTATTGATCCCGAGGACTGACCTACCGCTGACCCCAGTCAACCCTTCCTACCACCTTTCTGGAATGCCTGACCTGGCTTCTTCGGGGGAGTAGGTGAGGATTTCTGACGGGACTTTCTGACTTTCAGAATTAGGACTCCAGAGTGACAGGCAGGCAGGCACGCGCGCGCGCGCACACACACACACACACACACACACACACACACACGGCCTCCTGGGGACCTGAAGCCTCTCTAATGCATCGATATAGTCCTTTTAGAAGTGTCCCACTGCAACTTTAGTGTCTCTGTGATTCTCTTGAGGAAGCAGGAGTTTGATTCCTAACCTAGGTCCTGATTAGGGAGGATGACCCACACACCTCCTTCATCCCTACCAACCATAACTGAATCATAACTACTTTTATAACTGAAACATAACTACTTCCATAACTGAAACAGACTTTCGCAAGCCTTTAGAACAAAACCTGGGCTTCTAGTCTCTGGCTAACTTTGGCTAGTAGAGGGAAGAGCAAGAGAAGCAGGGTTATATTCTTCCATCCCACTGATTGGGGTCCAAGCAAGGAACCCACGTAATTGTCCCCATGTGCCTAGAAGCTTAGCACCTGTTAGTACTGGCTGGATCCTGGCCACAGCGCTGCCTCTTGGAGCAGAGGGAAGCTGAGATCACCCTCTTCCAAGAGCTGCGGGACAACACAGAAACAACATCCAGTCAGGCATTCCCTTCCTGGACTTCACAGACTTCCTACCAATTTGACTAAAGAAGTTTTTGGGTGCCATTCTCAGGTCCCCAAAGTAGGCACAGCTCAGAGAATTTCTGTACTAAGGGTCAAAGTTTCCCAAATTGGCTGGCATGCACTTACGAAGAGCAATTCACATCTAAACTAAAGACCCACCAGGGGCTTGCACACCCCCTCTCTAGCTGAGGAGTCCACACAACTCAGTTCTGGCTATATCGTCTTTCTTCTTGTCTTTCTTTAGAAAAGGAAGGAAGGAAGGAAGGAAGGAAGGAAGGAAGGAAGGAAAGAGAGAAAAGAAAAGAGAAAAGAGACTCTTGGTCATTATGTCTTAGGAATTCCAGGGACCTACAGATGCCTAAAGACCACTGTCAGCTCCTCCACTGAGTGGGGGGAGAAGGGGGATATGGGGGTCAGTGGGTTATGTACATTGGTGAGACAGTGCTCACCTAAGGTCCTAAGGCAAAGATGGTGCAAGTGGGTTGCTTCATGCCGCTTTACCGAGTTATCTGGAAAGACTGATCTAGCCCCTCAGCAACCCCTAGAATGGAGAGGACCGAAGAAGGGTGGGGAGGTAAAGTTGGGACCTCAGGCTTTGGCTCTCAGATCTTTTCAGGGAGCTCTTTAACAAGGTAGGACAGGACTGCACACGAGTATGTGGCTGGGTACTGAGGTCACCTCCATGGGCTTTAGATCCCTGGCTGCTAAGGGACTGCTTCCTGAGTGAGCCACAGCCTCAGAATACTAGGAAACAACGAAATTCAAGATACCCTAGAGGCTGAGTAGTGCTCCAGCCCACTGTGAGTCCCTTGGTGAATAACCCCCCCAAAGTGTGGCTGCCCGATGTCCTGGAGGCCATCCAGGGTCCTGTTTTCTTCTGGGTGGGACCCCTGGAAGAAACCCTGGAAGCCACGGTCCTCTCCATTCCCCGTGCAAAAAGGAACAATGGTGGAATCCTTCCCCCTATCTGTTTAAGAAAAGTTGGCCAGACTAAGCCGGACTTGAAGGAGAGGGCGGAGGGCAGGGCCCAGAATACCTAGGAAGACTGGGGCACTTTTTGAAGGAGTTGCATTCGTTTAGAATTCTCCAGGATCACACGTTTCAAACTCCTTATGTGCCATAGATGGTCTGTACCCAGAGGTTCTGTTGGTCCCACCAATCTAAGAGTCACCAGTGAAGGTGAGGAAACTCCTAGCCTACCCATGTCTCATCCCTGGGGTCCAAGGACTCCGCCCCTCAGAGCTTCCACTGATGGAGGCAGTAGCTTAGGCTCGCATAGAGTCTGAGGTCTGCAGCCTGTGAGCAGATTCAGAGGCTTCACCACTCCCTCTCTGCCTCTCTTTTGGTCACTGCCTGCTGCCTGACTCCAGGGCGGACGCCCAGAGAAGTCCCAGATTCTGTCTGCTTTGGTCCCTCCGGAAAGGGTCCCCACTGCAGAAATAAGAGCTTTAGCTCTGCGCCCCCCTTCCCCCGCGCACCGCGTGCTGCCTTGTGCATCCTGGTCCCAATAGAATCCAGCAGGAGCGCGAGTCCCAGCCCTTCAGGAGACTCCTCTTGAACTTTGACCACACCAGGGACAGCGGTGCAGCCTCTGCTAGGAGTCCTGGCTGCCCCTTACCCCCACCCCAAGACGTACCTGGGATAGTGTTGACCTCCACTTATCCTCGCGTCCTAACCCCAACCCCTTTCAGCTTATCAGGAAAGAACAAGAAATTGATTTGGGTGGTCTCCCCTTGTTTTTTTTCTTTCTTGTTTTTTTTTTTTTTTGCTTTGTTTTGTTTTGTTTTTAATCATGAAACGTGCCTCTCCACACTGCCCAGGATCACGAAGCTACTTCAATCTATGGCCAAGTGGAATTTACTGAACAGCAAACCTTCCTGTAACTATTGTGGATGTTAGAGGGCTGGGGGAGTCTTCTCATTAACCCCTCCCTGTATGCATGAACGGAGCCTTCAAATAGCGAGGAGATTTAGATTTCCCTCTGTATTCATTTAGATGATGAATTGTAACGGCCTAATAGTTCCTCTGGAACCATTATAGTCAATCAGGTCGAAATCCAGCTCGGAAGAGGTGGGGTTAAACTCCGGAGGAAGGTAGCATGGCTTATGTACACATTTGCGACCTTAAGGCTTCTGAAAGTGTGCAAGCCCAGCTAGGGTTCTGAGACTAGAAACCCATGGATGCTACAGCGAATGTTTATTGTTGTGACAGCGACAGACAAGTAACAAACTGAAAGGGAAAGTGAGCACCATTTTCCCAGGCATTTCCCGCGTCCTAAGTTCTTTGTGAAAGTCTTAGCATCTTCTAGCTGGTAATAGACATAGCAAGACACCCACGTGGGTATCCACCTTTGTCTTGGTTTCTGTTTGAAGGATACATGGGAAGCAACAATATGCACGTGGGGTTGCTCGAACTCCGGTCGTCCTCTTCGGTAAAATGAAATGATAATGACTTGTACAAAATACTTTTCGGAGGGCACGGAAGAGGTTGGGGAGGAGTTGGCATTTTGTTTTGTTTTGTTTTTTTATAAAACAAATCTAAAGGGTTAGCCTTGTTTTTGACACACAACCAGCTGTGCTCTGACGGTATTGAAATTTTCTTTCCTCCAAGGTGGTAAGTGGGTGTCTCAGAAAAGACCCGGTGTCTACTAAAGCATTAGAGCGTTCAGAAGAGTTGCTGCGGTGGAGTTACGTGAGTTTGGGATGGAATTCTGGATTACAATCACCTACCATGCCCGCTGCCCTGCGTGCCGGACCTGCCAGGGACGCTGGAGGATGGAGCGCTCCAGGTAATTAAACATTTCCAGACACTGGAGGGCTGTTATCTGCACAGCGATTTCCGGATGGGGCCTCTGAACACGTCTGGCTGCGAAGTTTTTAACAAAGTTCCCCGGACGCAATCCTGAAGAAAACGCGCCCCCTGCTGTCGAGGAAGCCACATCTTGCAGTTCCTTTTCTTTAGCCAGGAATCCAGCTATCCATTTTTAAATGTAATGGGTTCAAAGGTTTTCTTTTTTATTTTCCTTTTTTAACTCACCAAATTTGCCGTTTTTCCTTTAAAATCACGCGGACTTTTACTCTTCTAGAAGCGAGCTGAGGGAGCAGTCTCGCCTCCCCCAGCACACACATGCCCTGTGAAAGTTTTGTTTCCCGGCTTCAAACCAGACATTTCTGATTTTAATTTTTTAAATAATCTGAAATCCTTGGCAATTGTTTGCCACCAACACCTTCTCATCTTGGGACCCAAGATGAACCAAGATGGGGGTGGGAGGGGTTCTCAGAACTGAACTGGGCTGTGCCTCCCTCCAGGGTGCCCTGAGATGAGGTTTTCTCTCCTTTGCTCGGGTGGCTCAGCACCCACTGGAGCACAGAATCCCCACAAATCCGTTTCTG